TTAGCAAATGGCTGCAATATAACAAAGAGTGAAAAATTTAAGGGGGTCTGAATACTTTCCGTACCCACTGTATATGGTAACACGTTACAATAAGGTGTCATTTGTTCACATTAGTTAATGTATTAACTAACATGAACTAAAAATGAGCAATACATTTGTTACAGTATTTATTGTTACAGTGCATTAACTAATGTTAACAAACAACTTTTGATTTTAATAATATATTAAGCACACAGAATAATGTAAGTAGACATTATTATTATTGTAATTGCGCCTTTTTTACGTAATTACGTAATTGTGGCATCCGTAATTGTAATCACTATTAGAAATTTGATTAATTGTGCAGCCCTAGTATCATTTTGTTTTAGGTTTTCTGCATTTTAAAAGTGTTTCCCTGCATTTGTTTGTAAGGTATCTTGTCCTGTGTGTTCTGCCATGTATTCAGAAGACTTTATTGAAGTACATGCAAGTACCTGTGGGGAAAGGTTATTATTTTTATTTTATGCTTTGTGTTTTCATGAAATTATTGGTTTAACCTACAATCCTTACCTTTAGTTGTTTGTGTATGTGGTAGTAATTTTTATTGAGCTAAAATGAATTTCTTTCAGAGCTGAAGATAGACCAAACCAAGATTTGGTCCTAACCGGACAAAAGCAAGACAAACAAAAGAGGTGTAATTAAGTTTAATTTATAGTGCCTTTTTTACATAGGCCACAAGCTAAAAAAGAATGCATCTCTCTGCTTTCTTTTTCTCAAGCCTTACAGACGCAATCAACACACTTAAAGAGGCAATAGACCCTTCAACCATTTTCAGTGTCTGTGTCACAAGGGAGGACATGTTCTCCCGAGGCCTAACACAGTGGAAGCGGCAGAAGAAGTCCTCTCCGAAGAATCCCCTCAGAGTCACTTTCATTGGAGAGCCTGGGATAGATAGTGGTGCTCTAATGAAAGAATTCCTGACTGGTATGTTTTTGTCCCCGTAGATACAGCAGCGCCTTTGCATAAATGATGCAGTTTTATAAAATTTAGTAATCTTCTTAACTAACTTCAGTGCCTTTGTTTATTAGTACTGGCGATTTGCTTTTTTCACAGAAATGATGGCCGGAATTGAGGAAAAATTCTTTGAGGGGGGGAGCACTGGGAAAAATCTTAAGTATTCAATTACAGACTTTCAGAATGAAAATTTCAGGTATGTTTATTAGCATTGGGGCTGGGTAAAAAAATATTGATGTCTCAATTTTAATCGATTCTCATTTGTACATATCCCAAGAATCGATCACTCTAGCCTCTTTACAGCTGATGAATGAACAGAACATTGTAGCGCACCTCTCATCCATTAAACCGCAATAGGCTTTGTGCTTTGTTACTTTTGATAAGAAACAAAGTCTCAGATTTCGAATTCTGTCCATCTTATTATGAAATTCAAACAATAAATATTGTTTTAGTGCTATTTAATGCAGTGACCGATAACGCAATGCGCCTCAGGACAAGTGAAGCGGCAGCATGCAGCACACTTGAAAGATCATGTCTTCCTCTATTTTTAATACCAGTTACGGGCTACAGCGTGAAATAAACATGAATGAATGCCAAAAGTTATGTAAACAGATACAGTGCTTCAGCCATACTTCAAAGACGTTACAAACAGCTTGTCAACAAGATGTCATGTTTTCCTCATAAAATCCATATTCAGTGATCATGAACTTGTTAGTCAGCTAGAAAAATGAACTCTGGAGAGGAGCATTTTGCTAAATATATGCACCATATTACATTCATTGTAATGTTTAATCAATATTTAATGTATGTTTGAATAAATATGTTTTTATGACAGTTATGTAAAAATAGTATTGTAACTGTACTATTATGAAATGCTCCTTGTTTAGAATTTAAGTGTTCGTATATAAATCGGTTTATTTTAACCTTCAATATTATAATAATGTAGTAGCAACTGACTCCTTACAGCAGTAGTCTGTAAAATAATTTAAAAATGCTTTTTCAATCTGACAGAGATTGAGTAGAAGCCCTGTTTTTAATTAATGTTCTATACTTAGCCTTTTTATTTTAAACAAACACTTCTATTAACCTTTATTAACATAATTTAATTGAACTTTTTTAATATAATTAGTTTTTTTCCTGGATTTATTCTTTTATGTAGTGCTGTTGTCCTGCATTCTTCTGTGCGAATCCTCCCAATGCTGCAGCAAATGTGCAGAGGATTGGAACTTTATGGCCTCCATGAAATGGTGAAACAAAATCAGCCTTTATTTCAGCCATTATTTGTTCCTGGTCACTTTACAAAAGTAAGTGTTGTTGCTTGCATTTTTTTCATGAAGGCTTTTGAGCTGTGTATAATAAAAGGTTTCTTTTATTCTGATTTGCAGCCTGATGCAGATTTTCTCATGATGGCCCTGTCACCCATTTTAAGTGAGGTGGGTTCAGTGAAGCGGCAGAGGGAGTCAAGTATTGTGAACTACTTGCAGGACTTCATTCAAAGTCTTGAAGATGAAGGTAACATCATTACTCTTACTCTTAATACTTAAATTGCATCAGTTCTAGTATGGTGCACTGTCACACTTAAAGTTGCCCCTATTATGTTTTTTCAAATATTACCTTTCATGCAGTGTGGAATGTAGCTGTATGGGGAACGTAAATTATCTGCAGTGGTGAAGCCATAAATGCATGATAAATAAAGTTGTCTCTCAAAAGAAAGAATACACTCTGAATCGCCTAAACAATTCATCAGGAATTTGAATCCCACTTCCATTACGGCCACACATCACTAAGTAAAGCATTTGCCTAAAGCCCGCCCACGATCGACCCGCACCACCCTCAATCTTCATTTGTTGTGTACATGTTGAGAAAACACGGTTTTCTGCACTGTGAAATCAAATAATTTTTGTATACAAGAGAAATTACCACTACGATACAACAGCAGTATAACCTTTAGCTGTGTTCCTGACATTTTACTGACAATTGTTTCTCAAATCTCTGCACATCAACACGGGCTGTGCCAGTTAATGCAGACTGTTTGTCATTCTTACTACTTATTAGTAATGAGAGAGGTTGGAGCAAGATTTGTTTTACAAACTTTAATGTTATATCAGTCATTCACGTTAGCTTGGCTAATGTTTACACTAATAATAATACAGATCCCACACATGCATCTCAGTAAATGAGAAATATACACATTGCTTTGCTGATTGACAGACACTTGTCACTTGTTAATGCTGATATAGACAAACTACTGTTCTCTCATCATGTACAACAAACTGAAAAACACTGTGAAATGTCCTGTGCAAATCATCCTTGTGATGGAGGTTTGCGCTGAATAACTAGTTTTTCCAGTGTTTCATCATCAGACTCGCGCTCGAACTGATGGTAAAATCGATGCCATTGTTACTGTCCTTACACTGTATACAGTCGCTGGAGTTGTAAAGCCTCTGGAGTTGATTGACGTAATGGGCGTTTAGTTTCCGAACAATAGACCAGTAACAACCGACTGGGCCATCTGACCAGTCAGAGCAGAGAGGGCTTGCGGAAAGGTGGGATTTAGCAAGACTGAAGATTTGGATCGCTTCACACTAGTGTTTTCTGACCTTTGAATATAAACGTGTTGTAGGAGACCTCCAAAACAAGTTTAAAATAGTATAATAGGGGCACTTTAAAAAATGTCAGGTATTGTCAATCCAAGTTCAGGTATTGTTAATACAAGTAAGGGTGCAGACATAGATATGTGTTTTTTGCAGAAGAAGGGAGCAGCAGTAAGGAGAGCAGGGTTGAAGATGACAACGAACAGGTGGATAAAATGAACTGCACTAAAGGAGACGCAGAACAAGACAAGATCACCGTCAGCAGTTTCATGCAGTGGATTACTGGTCAGGGGCATGTCCCCATTACTTCTGCACAAAGAGAAAAATTTAAAATACATATTGAATTTGATCATGACTGTCAGCTTCGATATGGTCAGCACAGTTTATGCTACCCTCTAGTAAATGCATGTTCCTGTACTGTGACCTTGCCTACATGGCACCTAGGCACATACACAGAGTTCCTTGGCATTATGAGGCAGGCTGTGAGCAATAGCAGAGAATTTGGTCGTTCATGAAATGGATTCCTTGTATAGTGTTAAATCACTATACTGTGTACCTTCTGTAACTAATGGCATTATTAATATGTTAAAATAGGGATGCAGTAGCTTGAATTTGGTCGTTCATGAAATTGATTCTTAGTATAGAGTTTAATCACTATACTGTGTACCCTCTGTTACTGTTATGGCGTTATTAATATGTTAAAAGAATAGGAATACAGTAGCTTTTGGATATTTGACTGTAGTTTATTTTTATTTTTTTTATTGACATGTATTACAACAAAAGCAGCCAAGATTGCTGCCAAATTGTTCCAAACTCAATTCAGACGTGAAAAAAATTTACATCAATACACCGTAAGCTTCAAAGCAAAATAAACTCATTATCAGCAGATGTTCAAGAGCCCTCAACCTATCTGAACTCAAAGGGCATTCAAATTCTGGAACAACAACTCCGAAATCTTCACAGGCATTGTAAGTAGCTGCTACATCCCAGTCTAGATCTGGCTCTTCGATGTCCTGAAGGTATAGCAGTTAAATAGTTAGGAATCCACTTATTACATAAACAGCAGTGTGGTGACAGAGTAACTAAGACAGCATCGCCATACCTCGTATCTCTCAGATTGGTCAATATTTGTGTGCATCATTCCAATCTGCCACAGCTGCTCTGGACTTCGATTGCCCTCTGAGGAGAGTGGATGATGATTCCAGGCTTCTGCAAATGTGTCCAAGTCTGCCTGAAGTCTTGGGAGAAAAGTGTAGTGCACACTGAAAAGGTCCTCAACCACTGATATGTCAAGCAATCCTTCTGCCTCCAGGGAGTGCAGCATATCTGAGTACTTGTTAGTGACCATGATTCTGACATCACGCCAGAGGCGCTCAATCCTATTAGAAACAGTAAAAATTGAAAAAAAAACAATTTAGGTTGAAAAGCAATGCAGTGAAAAAATATTTTACTTAATTATTAATAAATAATTGGTTACTTAAGTGACATTGAAAAGCTACCTACAGATTACTGAAGTTTCATTGAACTTTTAATTTTAGAAGATTTTAGACAATTATACTTTACCTTTGATTATGGAGACTTTTACCAGATATGAAACTTCCTCGGTCAGTGCCTCTTGAGGAAAACATGAACCTGGCTATCTGTACATTCTCCACTCCTTGATCTCCCCTGACCCTGATTTAAAAGGAAAAAAAATAATAATCAAATTTACAGACATAAAATTCTATTGCTTTTTTTTACTATACTCACCTTGATGGTAAGCCAAATTTTGGGATTGCTTCTGAGAAGAAGTGACATGCGGTCAATGCATGGTTGTTATTTGCCGCATTCAAGTACATGACCTGTAAATACAAAGGACCAAACAGTAAATATAGGTAAAAGGAAATGTAATGTACATTGGAATTGAATGTATTACAGGCTACTTTTTAATAAACATGAATTATTTTTTATAGACATCATAATGACTGGACTGATCTTAACAGCAGATTACTAGTAACATGAACCTGGCTATCTGTACATTCTCCACTCCTTGATCTCCCCTGACCCTGATTTAAAAGGAAAAAAAATAATAATCAAATTTACAGACATAAAATTCTATTGCTTTTTTTTACTATACTCACCTTGATGGTAAGCCAAATTTTGGGATTGCTTCTGAGAAGAAGTGACATGCGGTCAATGCATGGTTGTTATTTGCCGCATTCAAGTACATGACCTGTAAATACAAAGGACCAAACAGTAAATATAGGTAAAAGGAAATGTAATGTACATTGGAATTGAATGTATTACAGGCTACTTTTTAATAAACATGAATTATTTTTTATAGACATCATAATGACTGGACTGATCTTAACAGCAGATTTCTAGTAACACTGTAAATCAAATGAAATGCAAACATGGTAAAATTTGTGTTTTTATAGAAACATAGACTGTAAACATATCCTCCTGGAATAACCATCCACACCACCAAATATTACGATGTTGTATCTATTTACAAGATAAAAAAAGATAAAATATTATTTGAAACAAAGTACTAGCTAAAAGTGAAAATGCTGTTCTTATTTTAAATATATATATATATACTTAAACTTACCGTATCGATTTGTGTCTGTGCACAAGAGAAAGAGGCCCTCGAACGGAGTATGTTCTTCTCATCACACATCCCAGCCTGGCCAATCTCGAAAGGATTCCGACTGAATCAACTCGGTGCATTGAAGCAGCTATTCTCTTCCACTGCACACGCAGACCTAAAGACGACAACCTCCCTCTGACCATTCTGTAACCAGCAGCAGGCATATCATCCTTTATGGCTCTCACAACATTGTCCAACTCCTCATCAGTCATGCAGCTATACAACCCTGAGATGGAAAGGCCTAAATCATTCATCCTTCTAAAGATGGTTCTAGTGGAAACACCCATCATTTTTGCAATGTAATGGACAGGAAGGTTTGTCTGCAGCATCTCTGCTAACTCTTCTCTTTCAATTTCAAACCTTGGACGTCCTCTCAGACCAACAGAGGAATCCACCACTGCATGTGGAGCTGTGGAAAATGGAGGTTGTTTAACAAGTTCAAACACTTCCTGCAGAGCCTGAATGATTTCCTGGGGTATTTCCACATGTCTTGATAGTGCTTGAAGGAGGTACAGCTGCTGGCAACACACAAACTCCATGTAATACAGGTCAAGGGGAGATCTCAAAAGTGCTCTCTCAAACTTGGAGAGAAGGTCTTCCAAAAGATGCCTTTTTAGAATTTGCTGCAGAATAGAGGGACAAAATTTGCTTAAACTTAGCAACATTAGATATTAACAAATTATAAAGTAATCTTAATCATCTAACTTTTTGTAATCATCAGTAACAATTAAGTTCAAAGTAAGTACAGTGCACAGTATAAATGAGTACACCTGACCACATTTGAACATGTTATTAAAAAGAAAATAACTAAATGTGTCCTAGATATAAAGGTTAGTTTCTAAATTGGGTTTCAGAGGGGTATGATCATTCATGCTGTGTACTGTATCTTAACTTTAACTGCAACCTTCCAACGGGGTAAAGTGCTGAAACCCTTTTTATACTGTATTTAAATAGAAAATATATTAACCACTCAAAACTGACAAAGAATGATAACAAAAAGCTTACACAACAACTCTTGCTCACTGATATGAACAAGTGATTTATCTTTCATCCAATGCCACATGAAGCAATTTTGGATTTAGAATCATAGTTACAACTATTTAATGGACACTTTTCACATTTCTGAAGTTCTCAGAACTGATATAATTTTGGCTGGGTAAACATAGATACTGTATAGTGGAAGTATAGTGGTAATGTAGCAGTGAACTAACTTTACAGCAAATATAACTATGTGTTCTCATTTTCCCCCAGTAGCTACAGCTCCATAAAAATAATAAAGTATATAGTATCTGGTAAGGACATATTATAATAATAATGCAATCAATCAGTCAATAAATAAAGTTTAACTCACTTGCATCTGGTCCGTTGATGAAGCCATGTCTAATCGTTTTACAAAAGGGCGCCCAATCACAACAGACTTAGGAAAAAACTGAATTAACCAATGACATTTGAGGTTACAATGAAATAAGTAAAGTCCCGCCCCACGACTGGCAAAAATAAAAAGTGTTCGCGCGAGCAAAATAGAAGATCGAGCGAGTGTGGGGAATGATGACGCGCGTGCTGCGAGTCGTGTCCGAGCACGTGAAGGCTTGATTTGTCATGCGCGCGCACGGGTTTGAAATGAGCTCGCGGGCTCCCGTTTCCTCGCGACGCGTGTAGGTCTGTTATCCTCTCGCGGAAGTGATTTACTGCGCGCGAAGCATCAGTTGTGCGCTCGGTTATTAATGGCATAGGATTGCCGCCATATTAATTGCATACTGTAAACGTATGTACTGTATGCATGCTCAATGTTTTTTTTTTAATATATGACTATCTACATATTCAAAGTAAAGTTCACTACAAATGTATATAGTACAGTGGCTATTGCTGTAGGTTTTTGATGTGTTAGACTATATTGCAAGTAGCCTACATCAGTTTTTACCCTAAATCCCACTTTATCTGCTGATATTTCAGTCATGGAATTCAGTAACAGGCTCATTAAGACTTAAGTTAACCAATTATCATGAAGCAATGACATTTGTAAATATACCGGGGTTCTGCGCTAAGCTTACAACTGTTTAATACAATGTAGGCTACTGTCAACAAAAAAAAACACGGGCTAACTGGCAGAAGTAGTGTGAAAATGACTTGTGCTAGCTGTATTTTCTGTTTTCTTCTTACCTCTGTGGCACTAACTGTCCTCCGCTGCAGCAGCCGAATTTAAACCTTTTGAAAAAAGTTCAGTTAATTTTACGCATTTAGCAGGGTCGGACCTAAGCCCTTTTTTTTTTTTTTCTCAACGTTTTTCTGCACCGCCTTTACTTTTTACGGTCCATTATCTAGCTTTTACTGAAAATTAGCTTGTGTTGCAATCTCTCTGATGACGTGCTTGATTTTGACTGAACGGTTTGGTAGGCCCATCTCGGGACCAGGCAGCCGGCCGTTGCCGACTGGGCCAAATGCTTAACATTTATTTATTATTAACATTATTATTACTATAACTATAGAGAAATTGTGCAAGCGATAAAAACCCGTCCTATGTGCTGTTGGCCCGTAAAAACAATTTTATTTATTTAGAAAAAATCTGACCGGCCCATATTAAACAAAATGCTCCGGCCCCTCTGGCATTTGCCAGAATTGCCAGATGGCCAATCCGCCCCTGCAATCTACTATTACAACACTATTATTAAAACAGGAATCTACTGGAAAGCCACAATTCCCAGTGGCACATCCATTTTTATTGTCCAAACTTTTATTAGGTGAGAGCAAGTATTCTTTGATCACTTTGCTCAAAACAGGTCTAATCTGACTCTGAAACACTAGAACTTTCTTCACTTTGCATTTCGATTACTCCAAGTTTGTATCTGGGAAATCTAGCCGGCGCTTTTTCCTGGAGCTTTCATAAAATACTTTTAGCGGCACTCAGTTTGATCTGTTCCTAACAAAAGCTTCTTAGCATTGTGTGCATACAAATACATGACATTTCTACACTTTGAAAAGGATATACCACAAGAGAATAACATAAAATGTGACACAAGAGCATACAGTAATTACTGACATCAGTGCTCCAGGGAGACCATATTAATCTTAGTCATTGGTCCTTTTACTGCACCTTACACCAGACAATAGAGTCCTAAAAGGATTTCCTGTCCAGATTGGGGAAAATAAAAGCAGCCTTTCCATTTGCTTGCCTTTTGCTGGCTATGGCTTTAATTTATGCATTTTAATTGTGTTTTTGGCAAAGCTTTTGTTTTTCTGCTCTCACTATTCTCTCTTCTCAATTGTGTTTTGCATAAATACATCACTGTCCACTAAAAGAAAGCAAGCCATCCATCTTTCACCATCAACAAATTAATTCCACTATGACAAATAAATACCTGATTTAGAATGGAAAAAAGAAACCCATGTGCATTTTATCCACATGTTTCTCTTAGTCGTTGTTTTAGTTTGTATTCCTTCTTTTTGCTGTTGTTTCGACTGAGGACTGCATGGAGATATGGAAGACGAGAGAAAGAGTGGTTTGGGGTATATAGATTGATTTATTCAGGAAGGCAGGGTTGATATCAGGGACTTAAACTTTAATCAGCACGCTTATAGAGTTCAGGACTCTCGCCCACACACACACATTTTCCTGTGTTGCAAAACGTGGTCTTCCCAGTGAAACTACACATATTTGTAGGCAATAGCTGAAAAATGGTCAAACAAAAGGCAATGGTGTCAAGAACTGGCCTTGTTACCGTATATAGGCTGTAGCGCTTCCACATATACCACCCTAAAGCTGCCGCAAGTGATTCTTTTAAGCATCACACACAAAATGTCTCTATCACCTGACAGATATCACTGAAATAGGTGTCTTGAGATATCCCACCTGTCTCTGTGACAGCCCCAGGCTCTTTAAGCAGACAAAAACAGAATGTGAACGCAGCCTGCATGTGTAAGAATCTGAAAATGTGGAGGCGGCTCTCTGCCAACTTCAACCAATACCGTGAGTTTGGGCCGGGATTGCCTGTTTGAATAAGGTGCTTGAAGATGCAAGGTGCAAGGGAGTGTTTGGGAAACCTTTTTTAGAAGTGATATTTTTATTTTCATTGAGGCACCGTTTTAGTTCTTATTAAGATTTTGAATTTGTTGTTTGTATTTTCTAAAATTGTATTAATTTTGTTGTGTTTTTTGTCATTATAATTAGTTTTTTATGTATATATAGTTTTGATGAATGAATATTTATTTCAGTTTTAGTTAAGTACATCAAGTTAAACTTATATATACAATGATGACTGGCTGACTGATTACTTATTGCTTATACCATTTTTTTAACTAAAAAAAGCTGATATTTTCTATCCCTCATTAGAATCTGAGTTTTACCAGCTGCCAAGAACACGTGTAAAGACTGCATGTAAAAAACCTATTATCTGAGGGATTGTATGTTTAGTTTGATTGAGGAAAGCGTGTATTATGCCTATTATGGCATGTTACAACTAAGGCTCAAGGTAGCGCAGCTAGCAGTTAGACAATGGTTAAGGAACGTTTATTTAAGTCTTATGAAATATTAATGCTAATCTGAATGGAAGCGGATTGCTGGGAATTCATCTGTCAGTATGCCACTCAACTGCTTTTTAAGTTTCCAGTTTCCTAATGAGCAAGAGGAGGGGAGGAACATATGGTCCTGTTCCGTATGCTTCACCTAGTCCAACCAGAGGTGAATAAAACATGGAGTAGAATTACCACACACGGATCTATTTAAATGGAAGTATTGTTGACAAATTGTTGTAACTTTTCATACTAATCACAGCAGGAGCACATTTTCCCTGAACCAGGGATCGAAATATGCTAAATAACAATTGTTATAACTTGTATTATTATTGATATTAATATTATTATTCAATACATTTATGGGAACTATGGTACTTTTTAGCACCATGCCACCCTAGTGTGCAATGTAGACTAAATGTACTTTCGAGTAGTATGACAGAGTATGATGTTCCATTCTTGATCACAGTTCACATTTGCTATGATCGACACACAAAAAAAAAAAATTCTCCTTCTTTAATTTGTAGAAAATGACATAGTTCAATGATATACTGACCGCTAAACCACAAATGTTCACGCTTAAGAGAGGAAATAGAGTAATAAAGGTAGAAAGGATGGAGGACAAGTGCTTGTGGGCACCGATGGGAGACAAAGATGGAGAAAGAGAGAAAAAAGAGAGCAGTTACAGAAATGTGCCTACAGTAGTACACATATAAAACAATGAGCTGTGATAGAGTCAAAGGCCTCTGTCCGGAAAATGTGCAGCAGTGAGCTAAAATGTCAAAGGTAAGGTCTATCTGTCGTAGCCTCTCTCTCTCTCTCTCTCTCTCTCTCTCTCAATAAAAACAGGGGGAATGGAGAGGGAAAAAAGTTCGAGAGCAGTAGAACACGTACTAATGCTCATGTAAGAGCTGTTTTAATTGACGTGAAGTGCACGTAAGGGTAACGCCATGATTCAGGCTGAGTTAGCCAGACATCATTTATTTTGGAGTATAGGCTCTTTGAAATCATTTGAAATGGAAAGACCTCCTCATTACAGTAGACAAACACACAGCACAACAATTTGGTTCAAAGCTGGATCAAAGAAAAACGCAAACACACACTTTCATATCATTGGTCCATGCTCTTTATTGTTCATTCCACTCTGTGGTTTTAATCTTCTAATGAATATTTCAGGCAAAATGCAACAGAATTTAGTTCATTATGGCATAAATGATCATGGTCTCATTTACTGCAAAATTGATAAGTAAAAATCAGTACCATACTGTTCATGCAACAATATGAGCACTTCTGGAGTGCTACTTTAAAACTACTTTGAAAAAAGACGTAAAATGTCACACAGTGCCTCAAATGAAATGAATAATTTTTTGAACTACTTTATTTACATGAGCCATCTGAATTAACCTATGCACTAAAATTAATCTTAAGACTGAAAGGCTGATATCACTGGTCTATAATAGAGAACTGGATTGCTCATGAAGCTACCTCACCACTCAAAGGTTTATGCTTTCTAAGGTATGCATCTACAGTTGTGTTGTAATATTGTTTTTTATTCGTACAGTCGGCTACCTGCAAATGCTTCAACAATGCTTTCTTTAATAGCATGCATTTTGAAGCATTTTTTGATTCTAGTAATAGGCCATAGAATTTGAAGAGTCTTGAACAGTATGAAGTAAATGTTGCTCAATCAGGAAATAAAATACATGCATCATAACTTAATCAGAGAAATAACGCTGACTGCATATGGATATACAGACATGAAGCTTATATCCAAGATGACGCATGGCAGACTTCTAATTTCAATACAATAGTGCAATATAGTAAAAAAGAGGCTTGTATTTATTGTTTATTCAAATCAGTTTCTGTCACTAA